TTTTTTTTTTTTTTTTTTCGTTTTGAGGTTGTGATAATATCAATTTCCATACATTTCACCACAAAATTAAATTTCTAATTTAAAAATGTGTGTTTCATTATAAAATTACTTTTAATTTGTAAAAATAAATAAAAGTAATATCTAAAATTCTTGGAAATTATGACTCCAAAAAGGTTTAATCATTTGTAGCTTTTACGATTTTACTATCGCATTTGCGATAGCAGGTGTGAATTATGAGAGTACTTAGCCGTCCAAAATAAATTCAATTTTTCACGTTGAGTTTTTATCTTCGACAAAAAGTTTCGTTTGCAATTTTTGTTAATTATTTTTTTTTTTGCACTGCATTTATTTTTTTTTTTTGTACAATACCTTGAAATCTTATCTTTTTTGCAAAACGAATCACTGAAGGCCGTTCAATTATATTATTTTTATACAATACATATGTATCGATTTAGTAGTTTTGTACAGTGAAATGTCTGTTAAAGAAACGATTTCTCGTAGAAAAAGTGCTACTTTGTTAGTTGTCAGTCTTTAATTTTCACACAAAGTACACGAAACTAGATAACACTATGTTTCCACTTGGCTCATTTAGGCAGTTTTGTTTATTAAGATCACTAATGAGGATAATTTACTATACAAAGAGCTTTTATATACGCATACATGAGCGTATATAAATGAGCTCGTTATAAATAAATGCGCTCATTATAAATAAATGAACTTATTCAAGACGAAATATGTCGAAAATATGTGCACAGTAAATTCAAAAAACATTCAACCTGAGAATTCAAACCGAGAATATTCTCTATATGTGATCTAATATGACCGTGGTGTGGAAACTTCGTTCCAGTAATTTAAAAAGCTAGATATGAGTGAGAGGCTTAATACCCAGTGGACTAGATGTATTTAAGCCTGAAAACATGAGCGTGAAGCAGTGGCAGATCGAGAGTAGGTGAAGGGGCGGGGATAAAAGCTAAAGATCAAATTTCTCTTTTAGGATGTTGCTCGAAATTAAAATTTTAACAAAATTTGACAAGATATAGCTTATATATTATTATATATTATTAATTTGTCATATTAATCAGTGTTCGAGATTAGCATATAATTATTTTGTAGATAACAGCGCCTTTAAGTTTAAAATAACTGAATCATATAGGTATTGAAAGTAAGTATAAAATTTGATCAAAATTACTTAAAAGCTCTCTCATGCATAAA